TTTAAAAAGCATTTAAGAAGCACTTAAGCAGACCGACATAAAAGGAATATATATTTAAACAGGGAAAATGAGTAATTATAGGCCTAATACTGCATACCAGACCAGCACATCTGGTCAAGGATGATCACTCTACCTTCCCCCAGGCCTATCCCTTCCACGAAACTTATAATTATGGCCACCCACATCCTTCCACTTACGCAGAAGAACTAATGGTGTCAGAGCAAGGCTTATGGGATCACATGAATCCATTAAGCTCCACCTTAAGACATCAAATCCCCAGCCCAAATTCCAGCTTCTGGATTGGACCTAATTCTTTACCCTTGATTTAAAAACATACAAGAAAAGCCAACAGAAAAAAATCTACATGAAATCCCGTAGGCTATAGATAACACACATGTATCTAGATAGTTAGATAGATGATAGATAGATAGATAGATAGATAGATAGATAGATAGATAGATGGATGAGAGAGAGAGAGAGAGAGAGAGAAAGATATGATAGATAGATGATAGATAGGTAGATAGATAGATAGATAGATAGATAGATAGATAGATGATAGATAGAGATAGATAGATAGAGATAGATAGATAGTGATAGATAGATAGATAGAGAGAGAGAAACAGGGAGAGATGATAGAGAGAGAGAAAGATATGATAGATAGATAGATAGATAGATAGATAGATAGATAGATAGAGATAGATGATAGAAAGAGAGATATATGATAGATACTGTAGATAGATAGATAGATAGATAGATAGATAGATAGATAGATAGATAGAGATAGATAGATAGATAGATAGATAGATAGATAGAGGATAGACAGACAGAGGGATGGAGGGGGAGAGACAGAGAGAGACAGAGACTCTCAGTTTCTTTGCCTGGTGCCTTAACCATTAGATCAAATCATCAATTTATGAGCATCATCCAAATCTGCAATTGAATAAATAAATGGTGGCAATTAATGAGACCTAGCATCACACACCCTATTCTACCTTCCATTTACATTTTGACAATAATGTATTCTGGTTTCATATTTCATACGTCACACTCAAAGAGTGGTGCAGGGTACATTTAAATTGCCAATGTGTTTTGCTTTATATATTACCTGTAACTAAAACCATTGAATCAAACCATTGAAAAGAGCCTAATCAAATTGTACCTTACATGAAAACTGCATGGCTATCTAGGATTGAATTCCTAGAGTGCTGGAATATGTGTGTAAACAGATTTCATTAAAAAATAGAGCTTGAACTCTGTCAACTGTTACATCATGTGCAAGATCATGACACTTCTGAAGTTATCCGAAGTAGCCAATAAAGACACAGTTCTTCTCTTTGTAAACTTTACATTAGCATTGAAGAACATCAATACCAACAAAGGCTATATTAAAATAGACAATGCTATTCTTAGGAAAGGACTTTATGAGACAGGTCCTGGGGCACATCAAACTAACAGGCCACTACATCATAGCTCCAATGGTAGCTTCCCCAAGATGTGCAGCATGAGATATTGTTCATCTAAATTCGATAGAACTTTGTCACCTGCATTTCCAAGAGTTTGTGTGTATTTATCACAGGTTTCAGATTGTAGTACTTTGAATAATTAGATAGTAGACACATTAATGTTTCTTTCTGGATAGCCATTGGAAATGTCATGTAGTGCATAGACAGAATTACTTAGTTGTTGGTTAGACCTTGGATACAAGGTAAGGAGCATTTTCCTTCATTGGACAAAGTAACAGTCAATCTTTCAAAAAAAAATATTGTGATTTCAATTGTCTTCCACATTTGATAGAGGAGCAAAAAAAATGGAAACAGAAGTTGAAGGGTCTGTTTATGACTATTTAAGCAAGAAGGCCAAATGATCTTTATCCAATAATATACTCAGCAACGTGTGCTGAAATTCAGAATCATACTCAGGGAGATGATAAACAACTTGTTACCTGGGTTAAGTGTATTGATGTCTGAAAATCTCAGTAAATTCCTTTTTAATAAATGTCTTTCAGCTACTCTCACTTAATAAGGGACTTTCTCATTAAACTCTTCTCCATATACAAGAATGTATGGTTAAACAGCTACCCCTTGTGTTTCACAATTTGCAGAAGATTTATTGTAGTTAAATTATGTAAAATTGGAACTTTGGGTAGGAGAGTCCAACCCATCATCTTTTACTTTGATAAGAGCTATGATGAAAGGAAAAGGCCTTGGTAGAAAGACTAAGAATCTTTCAGGAGGCCAGAAAGTTCAGTTTGCTGAAGAATTCTTGAAATAATGGGCTTACCAATGTCATTTTTAATTGTATCCCCTCCTGGCTGGTAACAATGAAATGTAGGTGAGTCATTTGTCTATTTTAGCTATTTTCTCTTTAAGCCCATACCATAAGAGGGAAACTTCTTTAACAAAAAAAAAAGCAAGCTTGTGGTAAATGTTTCTCCATTCTCATTTAACAGCTGGCAAGTGCAGCTGGCAGAAAAAAATCAATTCTGTCAGAGGCCTCCAAAATTGTCACTGCAGCTAGGATTATGCTACCCACATATTTCTGTAATTTGTGAAGTTTAATTGGTTTAACTTTTTACTGGCTCCTTGATTTATCTCCCAAAGATACCTTATTAAATGGTGTTTCTGACCTTCTGTAACACTGTATTGCTTTTTTTTTTTTTTTTCTGTATCATTTATGATTGGAAATCCTCTGGAAGAGATGTTAGAATCTGTGAAAAATGTTAATGGAAAAGAATTTGACCTTCATGAATATAGATTTACTACCGGTAGTGACATTACTATCTTGGTAAGGACAACTTTCCATCAAGTTTCAAAATAAGAATGGTATTATAGCTGATCACTCTCCACATAATGCAAATATAAAGGTACACTTTATTGGAAAAAAATACATTACATTCAGAATCTTTGTGGAAGGGAATCTAGATTTTTCTCTTGTGAATCTTACTTTGGAGCAATATTAGACACAAAGTATTTTAGATAGCATTCCAATTTTCCCTCAGAAAATCCCATCGCTGGGACTATACAGGAGCTGAGATTATTTTATGAACTCTACAGTATCTTAAATATTGCTTGTGTTGGATATTATGCTGCTGATATAACAAGCTGTCTTTTTTACCTCTTCCCAAATGAACTCAGCAACCACTAAAGTTCATTTAAGGGAGCAGGATTTAGAAAAGAAAAATATACTAGAGAAAGCCACCAGAAATCCCTACAAAAATTGAAAACGGTTTTCTGATGAAGTAATAAAGTAGTTTTTGGCGTACCCTTTTATTTATTTAATTAATTTTTAAAAATTTTATTTTAGATTTTTTATTGACTAAGCGTAAACCAAATTGTCATATGGAATTATTCCATGTGATATACATATTTCCATACATACACACACAGATTCCTAAACCATACATATCTCCTAGACTTTGTATAGGATTCCAAAGTAAATATATAATTGTATACATAGTGGAGAATCATGGAACAACTAATAGATAACTCATGGTTGACTATTCTGACAACAATATAAAGCGGAAGCATTTTATGTTGCTGTATCCAGATGCCTTAAAAGCTTACTCAGGTTTGCAGTTTAGCATATTTACTATTGTACCTATCAGAAGTGAAGCCTAGTCATTTTTTAAAAAACAAAAAGACAAAATCTGGATGACCATCCAGAAGAACATTCCAGGTACTTGTTTTGTTCATTTTATGCATTGAGGGACAAAAAAGGCTCAGATATGAGATAAATGTGAGTTGCTTCCATTTTTTCATTTGGATATTTATCCATAACTAGCAATAATCAAGATGGAAAACCACTAATAATTCTTCCTTCCTTGCCAGCCATAAGCTGTTATAGAGCTATGTCACATTTTGCCTTAAGATTTCTAAGCAATTATCAGGGTTTTGGTTTTTTTAAGCAGATTAAAATGTTTCTCAAATTCCTCTTAATGGAGCGTGAGATGCTTTCATTGGCTGCCATTGTGGAAGAACTAAAAAAGTGGGAGGAGCTATATTTTCTCCTGTCCAATAATTGGTGAGCCTCTCTTACTTCTTGGTTTTAGTGATGTCCCAACAGTAGATAACCTGCCATTAGTAAATAAAATGAAAAGGGTTACCTCTTTAGCGTTATGACTGAACTGCTAAATCTTATTTGGGAAAGCACCACGACTATGCTAGATTGGGATTTTTTTTTTAAAGCATATTAAAATGTTTCTCAAATTCCTCTTAATGGAGTGTGAGTTGCTGGAGTATGGTTATGTTTACTCAGAACAACTGTCATCAAGTAAGTTTCAGGATCAAAATGTAGATTGCTTAAAAATGCTTATTATAATCAATATAATAAGCTTTTTAAAGTAATCTACATCTACAGCTAAGGCTACTGGTTCAGTTCTAAATATTTTTTCAAGGTCTTGCAATTTGTCAATTTATCAGAATAAATGAACTATCGCAATGAGGTATGACTGGAATGAAATTAGGCACAGTTAATTCCTTCAATGGCATTATCACTTATTCAAATATATATTATTACTTTGCAATAATGCCGAGGGAAAGCATTATATGAAGTGTCCATGTGTATCAGTTATTGCAATTAATATGATTGTTAGGATCACATCCACAAGTGGGAATCACAGTAATTGTAATCTGACGCCACCACTCCATTTTGGCCCAAAGTGAAATTTCAAAGCAGAACTATCAGGTTCAGAATGTTCCAGGATTTTAAAGGAAGAAAAAGCATTTGAATAAGGTACAAACTTTGTCAGAAGTGCTTATAGACATTTAAAGACTTCTGGCCAGGTAAGAAGATTTTCACATCGTCATCACTGCATATCCTCCAGAAGCTTCCACCCAAAAGCTCCAGAAGGCATGAGATAACATAGAAAGCTTTGTGTCAATTAGTGTGGTCTATTTTACCAGTAGACCAGACTTTTTATATAACTGATATAACCCACATCTTTTTGTAATTGTTTAAATAGCTACTTGGTTTCTAAGGAAGAGCTAGCAGGACTAAAAACATATAGGCACAAAAGATGAACCTTTAATTGTGAACAGAATCAAGAGACCAGATTCAGGCTACATACTGATAGCTGTATTTTTTAAAGAAAAAAAAATCTTCACATAATAAATACATCTTATACACACGGACTTCAAATTTACCTCAGAAATCTATGTACAATATAAATAATTATAAATGGGAACAATTTTCAAGATATTAGCAACAAAGCTAAATTGAATTTCCTACATTACATTCCAAAGGAAAACTTCAAATTACAAATGTAACTTGACAAGGGCATTAGACTCCACCCATTACATGTCGTTTGTGATGCTGTCAATTTTGTAATTTGGACACACAGCCGCATCATCACTTTCAGCTTCTGACATACATGGGGCTCCAGACTCACAAGTTACATGGATATCCTGAAGGGTTGGCATTAGTTTCCCCATCTATTTCAATGCAGAAGGTGTATGTGCTCCTTTATGTCAGCTCAAAACACTCCTTTCTGTTGAAATGAAAGGCATGCAAGAGCACTGGAGCACACAAACACAAAAATCCCAGATATTATTACTAGGATTTCTCTTCAATTTATTTCCAAATAAATAACCCCATTTACTGATTCTAAACATGCTTATCTGGAAATAATTCCCTTTAGAATTCATGGGTCCTGTGAGATCAATTAATTTAGAAAGAGACTGTTCTGCATTTCAGTAAAAACAAAAAAAAAGCAAGCATAAATGATACCATGGGAAAAGAGAGTGCTCTTAAGTACAGAAATACAATTTAGGCCTTTAAAAAAAATCTTTAATAGCCTTTAGGGAAAAATAAGAAAGTGTCAATACTTAACATAAAAGAACTGTGCATAATTTCTTTTTTTTTTAATAACATAAAACACTGTTCATTTATAATCAGCTTACATATTTGGGTTTGAGAACCTTTTTTTCATTTGAAAACTAAGCTACATGCATTAAAATAAATAATAGTTTCTTTTTTTAAATAGAGTAAATGACTACAATAATAAATGAACACATTTGCCTTTACTGTTTGAAAAAAGAAGTTACTGAATAGAGCTGAAAACTTTGATTATTAGCCAAATCCTGTGCAAAGTGAAGGCTATTGATTTCAACAGCTAAAGTCCACCTAATTTGGATAGGAGCAGATTCTTTGGTTTGTATTGGACGTAGAGTGGAATTTTCCTACCTTCTGCTTCCCTCTGCAGCCCCTCAACACAGAGACACCACCAAGCCCATTCCAAAAATCTAGAGGATCTTATAAAATAGACTGGAAACAGAAAGCAAACTGCAGAAGGAAGAATCATCCTCATATACCACCAACTTTAGATCTTCATTGTTTATCTATAAGACAGCTTTCCTCAACATAGCTTCCCCCACATAGGCTGGACTACAATTCCCAAAACTCAGTGAAGGCCAGAGTTTAGGAGATTATAATGGCAGCACAAGTTTAGGGCAACAGGTTGAAGAAAGCCAGTCTAATGATCCAATGTTGCTCCTTCCAGTCATGAAGTGTAAAAATGCATCATCTTTCTACAATGAATATATTTCTCCCACCTGAAAGTCCAACTTGGTGTACAAAACCTCTAAGTTTATGAAACGCAGAAGTTGGCATTTATTTTATTTGAGGAAAGCATTGCAATACTACATAGGGAAATGGACTGAAATATGAGAAGAACTGCATTCAAATGCAATTTGTAATTCAAAATCCACAGGAAAGCTAAAATTTAAATGCCCTGTTTCAAATTCAAGCTTGAGAGATAGAGGTCAGTGGGCGGGTCAAAGGGGCCATATATCAATCAATCAAATACAGTAAGGATCCAAAATTCAAACATTTATTCTGATTTGCCCTAACACCCCAGATGAAGAAAGTATCATGTTCATAGTTATCCTGTAAAATGTACGTGCTCCAAAATGGTATCCAATATTAAAACCAATCAGGAGGGATGAAAACTTAGTGCCTACTTTTTGACAATACACAAAAGACCATACCTGATGTTTAAAAAATACAAAGGAAAAACAAAGAGAACAGGGCCAACCAAGCATTTCTACCCAAATTCAGTTGATTCAAGATTCCTGCATTTTGCAAAAAGATTTGGCAGCTGTATATGGTCTGCATTTAGAATGTAACACAAAAATCTATCTACTGTATGTCAGATTAATGCTTGGTAATGGTCACAATCTGGGAAAGATATTATATGAACACATCATTGTGAAGAGATCTAGCTGAGTTTTAATCATGGAGATTTTCTTGAATAACAGGAAAAGCATTTTAGGCCTGATGAAAATCTGATACGTATGCTACTGAACCTTGACAACTTTGTTGGGATTCTTAGTCTCTCCTTTCATTTTTAGAAATTCTTATATTGAAATCCAAAATATTTCTACCCGGAAGTACTAGACTGAGTGTACTCTACTGTACACTGTACACAGCTGTACATGCAGAATGGTTACATATTGGCAACACACTACACAGAACAGATTCCTATAAGTAGTAGGTAATACTAGTTACCTAGTAGTTATATGCGCAATCTGAATAAGAAGGTTGCAACCTGTAGCTGTATTATACTGAATACAATTTGTTTCATAACGTGTAATGTGACAATCTGGCTATAATTTGTAAGTTTCTTCTATTTAAGAAATTAGTAATGGGCCTTGTTTTGTGTCCAATATAATAATCATCTGGGATTTTTAATTTTAGAATGTAAACTCATTTTGTAAATCTGTATAATCATTTTAAGCCTTCCCTTTAGAATGTGACTGGAAATTATTCTTATTAATTTATATGTTAGCTTTTATGCTTAACATTTTCATTATCAGTGCATTAATATTGTGGACCTATGATACACCAACATTTGACCTAGAATGCCTATTTTCTCCATAGCTTTATATTAAATTGTGTGCCACATATTAAATCTATAGGCTGTTCTACAGAATGTTGTTATTCGCTATACACATCCTAAGTAAAATATTTATGATGGTGTCATTTTTAATCTTAGTGAAATCTCTCTCTTTATTAAATATAAATATATTGAATAAACCAAGAACTATTGTTGACTTGCTGATTCACAGTTATTTGTTTATTCATTTGGTAACTGTTTCTCATTTTTGTTATATATTCCTGCATTGACTGGAGTGGCAGACCTAACAGCCTGCATGGCTCCTATAGTTTTTTGAAAATGCGGTTTTGCGCTTTTACTGAAGCACAAAAAAAAGTAGCTGAGGCTATTATTCTATTCTTGGATGATGCTCCTTCTCTGAATGAGAAATTTATTGATTATTAGTTATTAATTGTTGTGCTTGGAACCCAAGAGCTACGGTGTAGATCCTGAAAACAAAACATTTTACAATACTCCCAACAGTCTGTGATTAGACCTAGAAGACCTTTGAGGAAGTTCATACTAGACTGAGCACTTGTCTACATATTGCATTAAGCTTCTCTGTGAAAATTCATCATTATTCTTATTATGGGAAGATAGGGGGGAAATGAAGCACAAATATTTACTTATCTAAGTAAAAATGAAATACTGCACAATTTTACTTCGCTAGATTACATCCTAGATTTTTAAAAATATGGTGGTTGGGAGTAGCCAGTACTTTTTCAAGGTACTTTTACTCTCTTGAGATGAACCTGTTAAGGATTTGCACATGCACATTTCTAAATTAATTTTATGAGGAAAGCTTTTAAACAATCTATCTGAAATAAATAGGCTTAATGTTGGCTGGATCATAGCCACTGTTTGCTATACTAACCCCATGTGTCTATTTGTACTTAACCATGGAACAAACATTCCCTGGCAACACATTTTCTCTGCTCTCTTCCCATGATGTTATCTTAATCTTTTCCCCAGCCCTGCTAATGATGCACAGTAACTTCTGCAATACACTCAACCCATTGTTATACCACAATAATCATACTGGAAACAGGCTTTATATAACTCCAGTGATGGCATGAAAATTCTGTAAGACAGCAGAGGATTCTGTAAGTCAGCAGCCTTGTTCTTGGCTATTCTAGTATTAAAGAAACATTCCCCTTTTTATTTTGACACTATCCAACAATAGCCTCAATTCAATTTGGTTTTATCTTTGAACCTGAATGTAATTACTGTGTCTGGAAACAAAAGGAAGAGAGATAGTATAGGGATTAGCAATGAGGACAATAAGTGTCATGTCAGTATGTTTTTCTGTCAACTCAAAGATGGACTTTGCTTGGTGGGGAAAAACCACAAGCAGTACCCTTGGTCTTAGATCCAATTTTCTGTCCAAAAAACTATTAAAACTGTAAATATTTATAGTTTTCTTTATGCTTCTAACTACCTAATTTTATGCTGTTCTGTGCTGAACCCACATGTTTATCAATGCCTTACATAGATTTTATTCAACTGTGTAATTAAAGTAATAATTCTATCTAAACACTTTTTATAGTGTCTTTTTGATTTTGGTAGGACCAACTTCCAAATTTGTGATTTCAATTGAAAGCCATAATGCCAGCCATCTTCTAACAGTTTCACTGATTACAAGTCATCTTACTTTTAAACATCTGTTTCTGCAGATACAAGGTGTTTCTCTGCCAACACTGAAATTTAGGAAAGAGAGATTGGAAGGATTCCATTTTTTACTTCCACATACAAATTTCAAGTTTGAGAACTTTGATGAAGATTAAATGCAACGATCTTAATAAATAATCTTTCTCAAAAGCATAGGAATCTGTTCCTAACCATAATATCAAAAATGTTGAGAACTCAGTGGTACTGTAGTTCAGCAGCACCTGGAGGTCCATGGGCCTTATGTACTCCATCACTGTGAAAAATTGCATTAAGTCTTACCTATGCATTACATCCAATTTAACAGATCAATGCCTTTTGCATAATGAAGCAGAATGCTGCAATTTAAAATACTAAGAGAATGCGATAGCACTGAAAACAAAAGACTATCGTATGAGAAATACCTGAGTTCCCTATGTAATTGAAGAGCCATAACACATTTATTCAATTACAATATATTTTCTGGTTGATTTCAATAAATTTATGTTTACTGATCCCATGGTTATATCATAAAAGTAAAATTACTTGTAACCATTCAGGTAATCCTGGATTTCAGTTCCAATAAGCCCCAGCCTGCTCGTTTGTTGCAGAAGGATATTTAATCCAACATCTGGTTCCCTATAACTATACCATTTATATTGTTACATCTTGTGACATATGTAGCCAAATATAACTGAACAGGTTCTCATGGGGGTCTACCCATATTCAACCCCTAGTCCTACTTCATATTACTTTGGAACAAGCACTATTGAATGAATGAATGAATGAATGAATGAATGAATGAATGAATGAATGAATGAACGAACAAACAAACTTGCTCTTCAGAAACACACTGGGCATTCAAATTGCAATTCTTGATCTTTTGACAAGCAAAGTCAATGGGAAAGTCAGCTTCACTTAACAGCTGTGTCACTAACAACTCCAGTGATTCAGCTAACAACTGTGGCAAGAAAGGTAATAAAATGGGGCAAAATTCACTTAACAACGGTCTCATTTAGCAATATAAATTTTGGGCTCAATTGTGGTCATAGTTCAAGGACTGCCTATATTGTGTTAGCTTTTTCTTGAATAGAAGAGAAGAGAAGAGAAGAGAAGAGAAGAGAAGAGAAGAGAAGAGAAGAGAAGAGAAGAGAAGAGAAGAGGGACCTTGGAGGAATTCTAGTCCAGCCCCCTGCTTAAGCAGGAGAACCTATACTATTTCAGATAAATGACTGACTAGTCTCTTCTTAAAAACTTCCAGTGATGGAGTGCCCACGATTTCTGAAGGCAAGCTGTTCCCCTGGTCAATTGTCCTCACTGTTAGGAAGTTTCTCCTTAATTCCAGGTTGCTTCTCTCTTTGATTAGTTTCCAATCATTGTTTCTTGTCCTGCCCTTTGATGTTTTGGAAAATAATTTGACCCCCTCTTCTTTGTGGCAGCCTCTCAAATAGTAGAATACTACTAACCCCTTCTTTTCTTTAGACTAGCCAAACCCAAAACCTGCAGCCATTTTCTCTTTTGCTATGTTCATAACAAGTTGCTTTTATCTGGTTTTTTAACCATTTCCACCTATCTACCACTTTTTCATTAGGACTTTCCTAGTTTACCAACAAATAGAACTTCTAATGTGATCGGCTTTCAAAAGTGCTCTTTCCTCCAAACCTATGCCATTATATCACTTCCAATGTGGCCAACAGGGAATTATTAACTCAAAATGCTTTGCATTCTGCTTTGTGTGTGTGCATATATATATATGTATGTATGCCTCTATGTCTATGTATGTTTCTGAACGTATGTGTGTATGTGTGTGTGCATTTTTTTTGCATAAGCACACACATACACATATTCAGTGCATAGTGGTCTTGCTTTATTAAGGCCTGAGAGACACCACTAACTTATATAGATTTTCCTTAACTAGTTCATCATGTATGTCCATGCAAGCAAAATGGCTAATTTTGCATAGCAAGAGTGCTCCCAACTTAGATCTCCTTCACAATGTGGTGCTAGCTTTATGGTTTGATTTTATTTTATTTGCTTTACCTTAACCTTGAGACCAATGCATTTGAAACAGCAATTGGGATAAACCAACACTCAACACTACAAGAACTCTTTTAGTGCACTGTAGCGCATCAAATGTTGGTTGCAACAAGAATTTTAAAACATATGCGTCTGTGGTTATTACTCTGCAAAGATACTTTTCCTAGGACGACCTTAAAAAGGGAGTGAGGTGGGGTGGGGTAGGGTAGGGAAGAGAGAAAGACCCATCAGCTCCCATTGGTTATTATAACAGATGTCCCCTTGTGTCCCTGGGCTGGATCTTGCTGTATCCGTAGGTGAGAAGTCACATCAAAGTGTGATCCATTGCAACCCAAAGAATAGTTCCTAATCGTTTCACTGTCATAAAGGTGCTCCAAAGCAAATCCTGTTAAGGTGTAGGCATGCTTGTCAAAGTATTGCCTATGGGAAGTATAATAATTGGGAGAACTTGTGGGCTGATGGTCCCCTGGTGTCTGATGGGGGGATATGTCAGAATGAAAATAGTCTTTAGCCAAGAGCAAGCCTGATTTAGACATTCGATCAGACCCAGGACTGTTTATTCTAGATAGCGTTGTGGGACTGTTGTCATAGTCATTCTCCTGGGGGCTCATCAGTTTCCCATCCCGTTGTTGCTGTGTGTGTTCACAAGGAGGTGTAGTGGTGATGCTGGGGACTCGGCAGGCCTCTCTCAGCTGTTGCTGCTGATGGTAGTTTGTAAAACAAACAGAGTGCTTTTTCCCAGCTCCATTCATGGAAACCAGCTGATCAGGGGTAGATTTCCGCTGCTGTAGCCTGTTCTCTTCTTCTTTAATCATTTGCTGAGTCGCTCTAATTAGAGTTTCGATTTTGCTGGGCTCATGTGGGCTGCCCTGATACTGCTCAGAGTGGTATCGGTCCCCTGACTCACTAGCCGAACCAGGATCTGGGGAACTAACCACACTTTCTTCATCCCAGTGCCCTCGTCCTAAAAAAAAAAATGAGCAAAACAAAGAGTATAAATAAGGAACAGTGGATTTTGCATCAAGTCCAGCAGATCATTCAGAATTGATGACCTCCTACAGACAAAATAACAGTATTAAGAATTTTAAGCCGTTTACAACCACATGAAGTTCCAGCATATATCTTGGCCCACACTGACTTACTGCCAATATTGTATCTATGTTAGCAGGATTCTCTTGTCAAGTTCAGATTCAACTGAGGAACCTCTTGTCTCCTGACTTTGAGTCTTCTCACTTTGGATGTCTGAATTCACAGAAATCATGAAAGCTTCACTCCTTCTCTGTTTCTGTTTGGGGATGTCTCTGTAACATATCATTGCATCTTCCTACTTTGTATACGAACTATACTGCTTACAGAAAAAAAACCATGTGCTGCTTGAGAAAGGAGATGCATAGAGATACATACCATGTTTCCCTGAAAATAAGACCCTGTCTTATATTTTTCTGAACCCTGAAACAAGTGCTTGGCCTTATTGCCATGCGCTCAAAAGCCCGATTGGGCTTATTATCAGGGGATGGCTTATTTTGGGGGAAACAGGGTATATTTTATAAATTTTTAAATATCTGTACAATAACTAAAACAAAAGTGACATCTATAATTCCACATCTGCTACCATCTGCTACTATAATATAACTGGTTCTAATTCTCTGTTACTGCTTTCCAGTCCTCTATCAATGGTGGATTCTCAGTTCATTTCTCCCTACATTTCCAATGGCTAGAATTCAAAGTCTTTTCCTCTCCTTTGGGCAACAAAGCACTATCATGCCATTTCCCTGACTCAACCAATTCATATAAAAAAGAACACCGCTTTTTTGGGGGGGGGGGCAAAAGCCCTACTAAGCAGGTATATTCAAAAGTATGATGGCTATTGCTTAACGCATTGTAAGCCGCCCTGAGTCTCCGGAGAAGGGCGGCATATAAATCGAACCAATAAATAAAATAAATATCAAAACATCATCTTCGAATCACAACACAGGACAAAATGTTAATAGTAAATGTGGTGAAAAATCTTCATTAGCACATATTCCATGGAATTTAGTCTATGTATCTATCAGGGTAGTTCCATATGGTACAAAAAAAAAGTTGTTCCTTTGTCTCTGTCATTATTGCTATATTATCATTATATTATAATTTCAAATATGCTGGCTCTGTAAACTACTTAGAGAGGACTGTCAAGCACTGTGAAGTGGTATGTAAGTCTAGGTGCTATTGCTATTATAATTTCTCCATTTATCTAGAAAAAGAGACTGGGTTCAACTCACAGGAAAATTTGGTTTTGCAAACTTTCATCCCTGCTTAGCTCCTAACTGGTTCATAGTTAGCAGAGGCCAGCAGAGCCTGTGAACTCTCTGCAGCTGGTTTCCTATGCAGAAAGCATAGGAAGAATCGTCCCAAAGGGAATCCCATTTGACTTTCCGTAAGATAGTTCCTACATTACTGACTGCGTATCGCCACATGCACAATGCTTCTAGATTTTTTCCCAGTTTTTTTTTCCCAGCATTAGCATGCAGTTCAAATAAATGTCAGAGTGCTGTTATCCCTGGCCATCAACTGCCTAGTACAAATTCTCCAGAAGATATCCCCAATTCCAAACAAAAGAAAATATTTTTAAAAGTCTTTCAATATTTCATAAGATGTTGGCAATCCCACACAAGATCTCATGAGATCTCACATGAGAATATGAAAATAATTACACTATTTCAGGTTGTATTAGTCGAATATTATGACCTTATATCATCTCTTGACATTTCAGCTTTTTTCCCCCTTAATGGCTGGGTAACTGCAAAACCATGCGCTGGTATATAGGGACAAAAAAAGATTGCTGTCTCTTGTACTAACATATGCCTGCACAGTGCACAAAGCATACATGTGAAGATACTATAAAGGAAAGAATGTACATCCAAAGCATCTGAAAATTAAAACAAATCAAATCAAGTGATGCCACTTAGTTTTGTTTTGAAATGCTTCTTTGTAAGGCAGGCAGAGATGCAATATATCTTGTCAACATATATTAGCATTTGCATTCAGAATCAAATGACATAAGTTTGTCTAGTCACGTTCAGTGCCTTATGCACTGAATTGCACAATCAATTATTGGTTCAGGAACATTTGGATTGTGCAATAACTCTTACCAATGAAATTCATTTTTAACTTAAATTACTTCCACTCCTATTAATGTTTATAGACTGATGATACAAAACTCAATGACTCTTAAGAAAGGGAAAAAAACTGCTAAATTGAATCCATTAATGTTCATAACAAAATTGGTAGTTCAGGCTTTCTAACAGTAGCTGAAGCTAGTTTTGCAGCCATATAACAAAATTGCTGAATCAGGAATTATAGTGTTATTGTGTATACTTCAATATATCTAATGAGACAGACACTAAGTATTGAAATGTTTTCTATTTTAAAGATATTTAATGCTGCACTTGTAAGCAAGGAACTCAGCAAAAGATGTGTGAAAAAGAGCAAATTCTATCTTGTAGTAATAGCACAACACTAGTAATATCATAATAATATACAAGTCTTTTATAAATAAAAGTATTTAGCACAACCTAACAACCCTCTGGATATGATAAGACCCTGCTTTTTCTAAGAATGTCAACTCGAGTCAAGATTCAAATATTACACCTATTTATTTGTGATTCTATTACCTGTTTCAGATGACTGGATGCCTACTTATATACTGTAGCTCATCTTTCTAAATTAAGCTGTGTTTCTATAATTTTGCAAGTCTCTTATAACAAAAGCTTGGACCTGAAGTTTTCAGCTGTTCTGAGGGTCCTCAAAACTTACTGTTAACCTAAGTTCTGATGCTGGCCTAGCATTAATCAATGCATCCAAGCTCCTTTCTGAATGGGGAGTAATGATGGCAATTGCCTATGCATCATGAACATCATCAGAACCATGCTTCCGTCTTTTGGATTTCTCAGTGCACTCTATTGTCTTTAACCGGGGGGGGGGGGGGGGAGGGATCCAGTAAAAACAAGGGAAGGGTCAATTAAACATTCTTGGCACTTGGTGTCTTGGGAAAAAATCCTGAAAGCACCATATGTACAGGAAAAATTAACAGCAAGAATGTTGTAATACTTCTGTTCTATTCCATTTTTCTCCATGCCTTTTTAATTAATTCATTCCCCTCTTCTCTACTATGTTGCCATTCATTTGTTAAGCCATTCTATTCATTTTGGGCTTTCATTTTATTCAATTATATAGCATATGTTATATAATTGAATAAAATGAAAGCCCAAAATGAATAGAATATATATATATTGCTTTTTAATTATACAGGTTATATATAAAGCAAGATATATATATATAGAATATTAATTATACAGGTTCACTCAGTCTCTGTAGCACAACCCACATTCTTTAACCCAAGTAATTGTTTTCATGTGGAGACACGGGTTATCATTTCACAAAGAGTCACTTTCTTTTTTCCCTTAATTTCCTGAATTTTTGGTAGGTCTCTCTGTATGGAATACTTCCTAAAGTTTGGTCTTTCAAACTTCTCCCTTTACAGTTTTGTTATTTCCAGTATTGAGTATCTAAACTACTTTTTGTTCCCTTCTCAACAAGTCTAACCTTTTTTGGATTTGATCAATAAATTTGTTAAACTTTAGCACTTCTTAGCTGAGTATTTGCATAAATAATCCATTAAATGAAGATATATTTTGAAAAGAGACTTTCCTATTCATCCTATCCCATCCCATCCCATCCCATCCCATCCCATCCCATCCCATCCCATCCTATCCTAATCAAGAAGGCCAGCACAACATTTCTTACCTGGTTGAGAAGCAATGTGTAGAGAGCTTTTAATCTGCAGGTAATCCCTACAACTACATTTTAAAGTATCAAGAACATATCAAGAACTCTTAGCTGATACCCAGTGTACATAAAATCAATTTTATATAGGTTTTAAAGGAGAGCTAGTGCTTAAAACTCTATCTAACTTTTAAAGACTTTTTGGCAGTCATGAAAAAAAAAGAAAATATACTGAATCTGTAACAATATGAGAAACTACAGCAGCTATAGAACAAATATGTCTAAATTGCCTGTAGGCTGAGGGAAAAAACTGCAAACACATTTTTAACCTCTGGCTCAAGGTTGCTTACACAAGCAATAGTTCAGGTTGGTTTACAACTTACCATGAATCCTGTGAATGGATGTTATGTGTGGCATGTTGCTTTCATAGGCTTCTCGGCTCTCAGGAGAAGATTTGGTTAGTGGAAGGCCAGATCGAGAACCCCACCATGCTTCCCTTCCAGGCTGTGGTGTGCCAAGAAAGTACCGACCAGCCTCACACCTGCCCCCTTCACAGGTTTGACTTTGGAAGTGTCTATCATCCGCTAACCTAGAATGGTCAACTGCAAAACCATAGCAGAGGGCACCACGATCCGAATATTGTCTATAGGCACAGGAAACATCATGATGCTGAGAGTTTGGTCTTTCAGTGGGATCCATTAATTGTGGAGATGCAGTGTCAGTCAGTGGACTTCCACCCCACTGGCTTTCATGATCAGATTCAGATCTTTCTGTATGAAACCCAGAATACTGCTGGATAAAAGAAAGGGGGGAAGAGAAGAAGAAATTAAGGGTAGATAAGTGCTGATCAGTAATTTGATTTTCAAGGTGTTTAAGACCAGGTGCAAATCAATGTTCCTGAATAAAAAAAAAATCTACATGCAGTTATGTGTAATATCACACAACCGGCTTATGAATCAGGAGGTATATTATTTTTTTTAATTGTTTGTTCAGTGCATATCCACCTCTATTTCATTCTTCCTGCAAATACCTCTTACGGAAATCAAATGAAGCTACATTCTCTTTTCAGTTGTAACCCCACTGGAAAGCCAGCTCCAGCCTCTTCTGTATTTTGCAATAGCTTTTCATTACAAAGCTACGATTTATCTGGTGAGGCTGCCATTATACATACCAGCAGGTATTCATTTCTGTTGCAGCAAGTAGACTTTTTTAAGCAGCTTACTGGATCATTAAAGCATTTCATTCTACTATTCATCAACTGGATGCTCTCAAGATCTGCTGGTCCTGCCTTTGCCATCATTCTCATTCATGAGAATTTTAGACCAACACATTTCAGGGCATTGAGCTGACGAAGACATCGTCTCTGAAATTATATCCACTGAAAACTGTCCTGCTTGGTTTAATCTCCTTTAGTAGGGAAGAACAGATTGGTCTATCCATTCATCAATCAATCCATTCCATCCCTTTATTTACAACTGAAATGTGTGTGTGTGTGTTTCTAGCATAAAGTTTTTCGAAACATGTATCCTTTATCATACTTTACCCTAATATGTGGAGTTCATATTTTATTCATTTACTTTAAGAGACTTACATGTCCATCTAACATGTGTCATAACTATGGGCAGTTCACTGCAACAGTGATGAAAATATAAAAGAAACAATATCCACGCACCTCAGTCTCCAAAACACAACCCTCGGTGCCCTAAAACAATCCTTCCTAATACATAAACAGTCTTAATCACTGGGATTCAGTCTCATCCTATCCCAACAACTGGGGGAAAGCGTTCTTTTTAAGGCCTTCGGAAAGACTAGTAAATGGGGAATCTGCTGGAATTTGGAGGACAGGACAGAGGCCATGGAAACCTCCAGGTCCAAGATGGACATAATCTGTCTATGGTAAGGTACTAATGTTAACATCCCTCTAACCCAAATCACAATATTACTGCACTGAGACAAAAAAACCCTTCAGATCTCTATAAGCGTGTTTGATGTTTTGAAAGAACTGCATCACAAAATTCAGAACAACATGAAATCTAAAATATTTCAACCTACATATTAATTTGGGAGGTCCAGGTCAAATCTATTCAAACTGGAATTCATGAAAAATGCTGCTCCAGTGAGTTTTACATTTAAACTCCTCAGATTAAATGTCAACAAACTAAGATGCTATTTCCCATCCCAAATATTAATATGTAAAACAGAAACGTATTTTGGGAAACATTCCTGACTTCTCACCTGCAAGCAATCATTTTTAAATTCCTTCTGGCATACTATGCCTCAGCATGCCTTATTGCTAACAGGATTACTCATCCCAAATTCTTCAGAACAAATATTTAGAATTACCTATTTTTACAGTATAGCATCATGTATAATTGTAAACAGTTTTATACAAGTATCTTCTCTAGTTTTAAGCAATACTTAATTCATGGTGTGCATGTGTGTGGGGAGGGAAACTTGTCAAAAAGTCAGAAAAATGGTTTCAACAGCTTGACTGACACATTGGGGTTTTGAGTGTATGGCTGCATCCCCCATTTTGACTTTTCTCACTCTCCCCATCTCTGCTTCTGAATTAGATTTACTGAAAATGGATCCCTTGGAAATCTGCTCTGGAGGAAACCTTTCTCTTCACCCAATATTTTTACAGTTTAGATGAATTTTGCTTTCTTCTGTCAATGAAATATTGAGACTCATTCTCAAGCAGTTCTAGAATAAGCACGGCTAAAAGGCCATCTTGTTATCAAATACAGTGTTTCCCCAAAAATAAGACCCTGACTTATATTTTTTTGACTCCTGAAATAAGCGCTTGGCCTTATTGCCATGCGCTCAAAAGCCTGATTGGGCTTATTATCAGGTGATGTCTTATTTTGGGGGAAACAGGGTATTAACTATTTTTATACTGCCTTTGACTGATTTTCAGTATTTATCCTATCTTCACCTCACGTGAAGATATCTGAATCGGAAACCATGAACACAGGAACAATTCACTAGGATTTACATCTCCACAAGCCCACACTAATTAAAATGTGCAAAAAAACAAAAACAAAACCCAAGCCTTGTTTCGGTCTAAGTGACATGGTGTTGTTACATTTAATGTCTTGTTTTGACTGGCCTTCTCTAAGATGGAAGGATGAAGGCACAACACTGGAGAGGAAGAAGACCTCTCCAAGTGGTATGAAAAAGGGAACAGCATCAGAACCCAACATGCCTGAACTTAAATTAGAAAGTTGATCTTTGGTCAAAGGACAAGCACAAAGGGGTTACCACTCAGCTTCAGATGACATTTGGCAGAAAATATGCAGGGAGATGGGGAAGCCTTTTCATCCATATTTGGAAGTGGTTTCATTTCATTTTTTTTTCCCACATCATAATTCCTACAAATTTTAATGTAGCTTGTCTAGTCAAATTACAAGGCAAGGACTGGGGCAAACGCTAAGAGTTTACTTGGCTAGGAATTATGCCTGAAATCAATTAGTGCCTTCTCAAACTGAAAGGGCCTCTAGCACTCAAGGAGTTCATATAATCTATTTCTGACCATGTTTAGTCACCAAGTGCTTCCCAGTGCAGAACGATCCCAACAAAGATGGATCGCTAGATGCTGACAAAGAAGGGCTGACAATTCCTGAAAGATGGTCTGACATTCAGTGCCATTATTAGAATCCTGAAAGTTCTATTAAGCCAAGAAAATCTTCAAGAATACTTAATTTTAGGGATCAGCTGAAGAGTCATCCTGGAATGTATATTTTTCCTCAATGGTCACGCAAACAGAACGTTTCATTAATAGAAATAGTATAGGTTCTAATCAGTGTATGTAAGTGGCAGTTCATAAGCCCTAAGGGAACTTTGTTATGAATTCAAAGAAGTGTTTTTAATTCATCTGCTTTTATTTTGAGAAAAAAGAAGCTGCAAAATTCTGGAATCTCTTTGCAGAAAACAGATCTTGAGGACAGCAGTGGAAGAGGAGGATTATCAGAACTTGAGAATGATGAAGCTTCGTTCAAAACACTTTATTTTTCTTTACAAAGTGTATAGCAAATGGGGGACAGGTTAAGTCAAGCATTGGCTCAAAAATTTATTGTTTTTCAAATAATGTGATAACGTCTATCAATCATATTTGTTTTGTGTCAGCCTCCATGACACTGTATCCAATTATGCTGGTCTGTTTCTGCTGTTTTCCTGTCTCTACTAATTAATCAACTCAGAGAACATTACTAACAAGTTCTAATCTGTACACAACTGAATTCTGCCAGGGTTGAGGTGGTCTGGTCCCAAAGAGGCCAAACTTTATCATTATGTCCTGCTCAGCCTGGTGCCCCATCAAAGCTAGTGAGGAAAAGGCTCTTCCAAAGCGAAGCCAGGCTTACAAACTTTCTCATCTCCCAGCATCCTGCCCCCAGATCCAAAGTTCAGAAGGAAGACTACCCTATCCCGTGGGCAAACTTTGGCATTTGACCATCTAGAAAAGCAAATGAAAAAGTAAGTGCTTACCATTTTTTAACCATTTTTTAAACATTTCAATTTTAAAATAAGGTTAGGACACTTGCTGCATTAGTTCAATAAACTCAGCCTAGGCTCTTTTCTGAATAATCTGGAGACTGCTGTTCTTACTTCATTCCTACTATGACTGCCTGTAGGGGGATATTTCATAAATATACTCTTGAAAATTGACAGTTTTTTTTAAATCCATTTTTTCAGGAGGAGGAGGAGGAGGAGGAGGAGGAGGAGAAGGAGAAGAAGAAGAAGAAGAGGAGGAGGAGGAGGAGGAGGAGAAGAGGAGGAGGAGGAGGAAGAAGAAGAAGAGAAGGAGAAGGAGAAGAGGAGGAGGAGGAGAAGAAGGAGAAGGAGAAGAAGAAGGAGAAGGAAGAAGAAGAGGAGGAAGAGAAGAAGAAGAAGAAGAAGAAGAAGAAGAAGAAGAAGAAGAAGAAGAAGAAGAAGAAGAAGAAGAAGAAGAAGAAGAAGAAGAAGAAGAAGAAGAAGAAGAAGAAATTTAGATGTTTCCCTTTGAACATTGCCTAGGAACATTTTTTAAAAAATCAAATCTCAAGATGGATGAAATGGAATGGGTTTCCTCTTGGGGCTTGAATCATAAACTTTAATTAAATCATTCTGTCTTTAAATCTTGAACTAGAATCAAAACAGTCTGCACAAGCCTACTTTATAGCAACCTGGTGGGAATAAATTCAAGCCAAAGAACCCAATTCCAGGCTCTTGAAACAGATTCTAAATTAATTCCTCACAGCAACTTTATACCTAGCAGGCTCAATGCATTACATTGATATGTCCTTTCCTTCTTCCAACAGTTTATAATTGCACACACAATTCTCTCTCCTCCAATTTTAACTTCATAACAGCCCCTCCAAAATGGAGCTGTTCTGAAGATTCCTTTTTCCTGTATGCTTGACCTGGAAGTTCTGCCTTCACTCTCAGTTGCATAATGTTTGATAATTAATTTCTGTGAAACAAAGGCAAAAATACAGTAGATTGAGCCTACTTACAAATACACATTCCGACTAAAATGGACTGCAATCATCAGTAGGTTTTGTCAGCAGGTTTTATAACCGTTCTTAGTAATTAAGCATTAATTCTTATATTAATTTTTTTTAAAAATACATTTAGCAAAGTGGTTAGAATAAAACAAATGTCAAAAAAATGTTTAAATAGTTTCTTGACTGCATTTAAAATGAGTTAAAAGTTTCTCATTATCTAAGGGATAGGTATATAAATAAGGTATGGATTACTGCAATATGTCTACATGGAGCTACCCTTGAAGGCCACCTGGAAGTTACAAGTCCTTT